TGTCACCTCCTGTCTTAAACTGCAGTGTCCTATTGCTGTGGGTTATTAATAGCAGTGGGCTGTTGAACAGATGCTGCATTTCACATCAGACATGGCTCCGTATCAGTAGTGAGTGGGCTGATCCCTATCTATATTTTGTACATTTTTTCATCTAGATGGCCATTAGCCATGTAATGGCAACAGCCACAGTTTTATTAGATGGCATAAAAAGACATTATGGATATAAATTTTAATGCTTCAGTGCAGAAGCCAATCACTAATTGTCTGGAGTCAGCAAGATAAAACTTTCTCCATCAGCAGGTTATTCCATCATTGTCTATTACAGGGCTTCTTGCACCTTCCTGTGAAACACCTGCTAGTGACCATTGTCAGAGACAAGATGCTAGATTAGAAGGAACTTTAGTCAGATCCACTCTGGCAATTCTCATTTTCCTACTACCTGAATACCCTTTCAGCAATATGTAGAATACAGCTTGTTGCACTTTATAAAATGATCCTTTGTAGATCAGTTTTGTATACAGGGTATTTCCCATTAAACTGATCATTCCTAAAACAACGGTGTGTACCTCCTGCTATCTACTTGTCAGCCTTCCCTGGGAGATTCCTCTGCTGTGCACAGCTTGTCTGTAAATCTTCAGGCTTCCTCCTTCCACTTAGTCTTCAGCTTCTCTTTGCTCTCTACTGACCATTTCTAAGACACACTTTCTCTCACCCTTTCTCTGCAGCTCCTCTCAGTTTTCCTCAATCTCCAGGGCTTTATTCTCTGACATCAGCTCCCCCTCCCTCCCCACAGGTAGCCTAATTTCTCAGGCAGCCCCTACCCTTTATGCTTCTCTCAAGTTCTTTCCCTACCCCCCATTCTCAGGCTTACTCCTGACTGTTTCCCTTCTGTTTTTTCAAGTTCCCTCCTGTAGTGGGTTAGTGGTGGGCCCTCCTCCTCTGGGTCAGTGGGAGGCCACTCCATCTCACTACGTCGGCGGTGCGCATACTTTCGCTGTTCAGCGCCAAGCGCCCAGCCACACCGGCCCAACACCAGCAGCGCCAAGCATCGTAGGCGGCCCGTGAGCACAGCGCCGTCTTGATTCCACCAGTCGGGCCAACGTTTAGCACAGGCAGGCGCAAGGTTCGCCGTGATCAGCAGCAACACAGGGTTGGCCCATCCAGCAGGCGACAAAGACCTGGCCTAGAGAGGGCAGTACCCTAGGGTCCTCACAGGGCAGGTGTCACCGCGGGTCAGGGGGTTCACCACCGCGGGCACAGGCAGCGGGTGTCCCAACCTTCCTCCCTCCCCGGGGGGTCGGTCAGGGGGCCCCGTTTCCCGGGGTAGCCACCCACGGGTCACCCGCCCGGCCCCAGCCAGTGCCTAATAGAGTGCAAGTGCCCACCTAAGCGTGTCCCTTTCAACCCCGGTGGGGTGTAAACCAAAAGTTTTATTCCAATCTCAAACCTCCGTACAAAAGGCAATGCGTTTTTGTCAGTGTCGGAGGCCCGGACAACTCCGAGGGGGGTGGGTGCTGTAGTTGTTTCTGGTCTGTGTCAGTCCCAATTTCGGTTGTTCAGCAAAGCGTGAAGTCGCGAACGTCCCAAGTGAGCCACATTACACGTCATCAACATACGTAGCTCAGACTAGGGTCCGTTCGTCGGCAGAAGGCCCAAGCGAACAGCTACCTCTTGAAAGTTAGCTTTCTGGGTCGTCTATGATCAAATAGGCCGGCAGGAAGGTGGAAAAGCCAGGCGCACAGCCCGCCTACACCTAATTTCCTTAAAAGGAGCCATAGGAGTTCCATTACAAAGGATCACTGCTTGCAAGTCATCATGAAGGAAACAAAAGGTGGTGACAAATTTTGGTGGATATCCATACTTCAGAAGGATTTTCCACAGTGCTTCCCTGTTGATGGACTCAGTCTTTTTTGTCAGGTCAATGAACACCAGATATAATGGTTGGAGTTGTTCTCTACATTTTTCCTGCAGCTGGCAAGCAGTAAAGATCATGTCAGTAGTGCCTCTAGACGGTCTAATCTCACACTGAGATTCAGGAATAATGTCTTTGGCAAGAGGAAGAAGACAGTGCAGAAGAAAACAAGGGAGGATCTTTCCTGAAGTTGCTAGCAGAGAGATTCCTCTATAATTTCCATAGTTGAATTCATCTCCTTTCTTAAAAATCATCATAATCACATCATCTTTAAATTCATCTGGAATTTTCTCATGGTTCCAGATTTTCAAAATAAAAGTGTATAGCTGTAAATCGCCCATGCTTACAGATTTCGGCAGGGATTCCATCAATTCCAGATGCCTAGTTGTTGTTTATCTGCTTAATAGCTCTACATACTTTTTCCAGGGTTGAAGGTATTCTGAGTTCATCTCTGGTTGGGTGTTGTAGGATGAAGGTGAAGACATTGTCATCAACAGTAAAGTCCCTACTAAGGAGATCTTCAAAATGTTCCTTCCAGCATCCATTGACAGCTTCCATTTCTTTGATCAACTCTTCTCCATCCATCAGTCTCAGAGTGGTTGGCTCCAAGATGCATGGGCCATAAATGCTTTTAATTGCATTAAGAAAGCCACGCATATCATGAGTTTCAACAAGGAGTTGAAGCTCATGTGACTTATCTAGCCACCACCTGTTCTTCATGTTCTGAGTTCTTCTTAGAACCTCTGCCTTTGCTTGTTGGTGAGCTGACTTCTTTTGCACCAAATTGATATCATTCTGCCAGACACAAAAGGCCTTGTGTTTGTGATCAATCAGGTTTCCTATCTCCCAATCATTTTCACCAAGCCAGTCCTGAAGGTTCCTAATAGAGAATCCTAGCATGACTTCACAGTCATTGAGGATGCTAGATTTGAAGGCATCCCAGGTACTCCTGACTCAGTCCGGTTGTCTTTCTTTGGGATTTGTCAGTTTTTCACTAAGCCGTTGGTGGAAGAGATCATGCTTTATCCAAACCTTGAATGCCTCTATATTGATTTTCTGTCTCTATTATTTCCATTGCAGCTGTCGTTTAGGGGCCAGTCTGATGGTCATGATCAAGTGGATTAGGCGACTGGTAAACAGTCATCTCTTCCAGTCATAGCTTGAGTGGCATCTTTGCGATCCAGAGCCCAGGCAATGGCATAGTCAATCATGTGCCAGTGCTTATGTGACAGGTTGGATCACAGAAACCCCCTTGGGAAATGCCACCTGATGTGCCAAGACTACTTCTGAGTCTGTTTTCCCTGCCAGCCTAGGACTTCAATACCCTGCCTTGTTTGAGCCAGACACGCTTGCCTGTTGCTAACCCAGACCCAGGTCTGAACAAAAGACACACAAAAGCTGCAGGCTTAACTGAAAACAGCTTAAAAAGTGTTCCTGTCTCCAACACCCAGATGCCGAGCTCCCAATGGGGTCCAAACCCCATATAAATCCGTTTTACTGTGTATAAAGCTTATACAGGGTAAACTCATAAGTTATTTGCCCTCTATAACACTGATAGAGAGATATGCACAGCTGTTTGCCCCCCCCCCAGGTACTAATGCATACTCTGGGTTAATTAATAAGTAAAAAGTTATTTTATTAAATACAAAACATAGGATTTAAGTGGTTCCAAGTAATAACAGACAGAACAAAGTAAATTAGCAAACAAAATAAAATAAAACACACAAGTCTAAACCTAATACAGTAAGAAAGTGATTACAGATGAAATCTCACCCTCCGAGATGTTACAGTAAGTTTCTTTTACAGACTAGCCCCCTTCTAGTCTGGGTCTAGCAATCACTCACAAAGGTTACTGTCCTTTGTTCCAGTTTCTTTCAGGTATCCTTTGGGGGTGGAGAGGCTATCTCTTGAGCCAGCTGAAGACCAAATGGAGGGGTCCCCCAGGGGCTTAAATAGACTCTCTTTTGAGTGGAGACCCCCTCTTCTCTCCTATGCAAAATCCAGCTCCAACATGGAGTTTTGGAGTCACATGGGCAAGTCACATGTTCATGCATGACTCCGTTTTTACAGGCAGCAGCCATTGCCCACATGCTATCTTGAATGTCTCCAGGAAGACTTCTTATGTGGATTGGAGTCTTCCAAGATCCATTGTCAGTTAAGTGTTTCTTGATTGGGCACTTAATTTGCACTTGATTCCTTTCTCAAGAAGCTGACCAAATACTTTACTAAGGCTATTTAAGCTCAAACAAGTACACAGCCAATATTCATAACTTCGAATACAAAAATGATACATGCATACAAATAAGAAGAATATATTCAGTAGATCATAACCTTTGCAGAGATATGTTACATGGCATATGTAGCTGTCATAAATATAAAGAGAAGGATAAACCCCTTTAAAATCCCTCCTGGCCAGAGGAAAAATCCTCTCACCTGTAAAGGGTTAAGAAGCTAAAGGTAACCTCGCTGGCACCTGACCAAAATGACCAATGAGGAAACAAGATACTTTCAAAAGCTGGGAGGAGGGAGAAAAACAAAGGGTCTGTGACTGTCTGTATGATGCTTTGGCCGGGGACAGAACAGGAATGGAGTCTTAGAACTTAGTAAGTAATCTAGCTAGGTATGTGTTATATTATGATTTCTTTAAATGGCTGAGAAAATAGCTGTGCTGAATAGAATGAATATTCCTGTCTGTGTGTCTTTTTGTAACTTAAGGTTTTGCCTAGAGGGATTCTCTATGTTTTGAATCTAATTACCCTGTAAGGTATTACCATCCTGATTTTACAGAGGTGATTCCTTTACTTCTATTAAAAGTCTTCTTGTAAGAAAACTGAATGCTTTTTCATTGTTCTAAGATTCAAGGGTTTGGGTCTGTGGTCACCTATGCAAATTGGTGAGGATTTTTACCAAACCTTCCCCAGGAAGTGGCGTGCAAGGGTTGGGAGGATTTGGGGGGGAAAGACGTGTCCAAACTACGTTTCCCAGTAAACCCAGATAAAGTTTGGTGGTGGCAGTGGAAATCCAAGGGTAAAATAATTTTGTACTTTGGGGAAGTTTTAACCTAAGCTGGTAAAAGTAAGCGTAGGAGGTTTTCATGCAGGTCCCCACATCTGTACCCTAGAGTTCAGAGTCGGGAAGGAACCTTGACAGTAGCATAAAACATATTCCAGTTATGTCATATTTACATTAAAAAGCATATTTCCATAAAACATTATGGGGTGCAACATCACAACTTGGATCATGGGTGTTGCTGTCAAACTAGTCTCACTGCATGTATATCATTTAGCAGAACATAGGCAAACCAGGAGGAGGAGAGAAAGAAAGAGAGCCAGTTATGTCAGAAACATTGTCATATGGACTGGTTTCCAAAGAAGAGTGGACATTTTCGATCCATTGCAACTGCAAAAGATAGAAGGTGGTGGCTGACAATCTCTGCATTGGAGACCTCACTTGAAGAGAGAGTTGAGCAGCATCCAAATGAGGTGTGTTATGGAGGAAGGAGAAGAGCTGCTGCTTTCAATGCCTTATGTTGCAACTCCTCCAGTATTGTAGTTTTTAATGTACAGCAAGGGCAACCAGAGGTTTGACAGGCATCATTTTGGGTTAAGTTGTTTTTAGATGGAAATCAAAATGTAAAAGCCAAGCATGATATCTTGGCCCTACTGAAGTCAATAGAAGTTTCACCATTGACTTTAATGCTGTCAAGGTTGTACTCAAAACATCTAGAACCAAGGCGTTCATTCTCAACTCATGTAAATTGAAGCGTTTCTCCTCTTGCCTCCATGGATTTTTTGTTGTAGTTAGTTAGTTAGTTAGATAGCTAAAGTTACGTGCCTGTTGAGATGCTTCTCAAACATGACTGGTGATTTTTGGGTGCTCAACCTGAGACACCTTAAAGTGTCTTGATTTTCAGTTAGTACTGTGCTAATCAGGGCCCTCTAAGGTGTCTCAAGCTGTGCATCCAAAAGTTGAGGAACACAAAACTAGTCACTTATAAAGATACCACCGTAGTGTCCTTGGTCCACAGGTAGACTGCCAGTCTGAACTTCTGGGAACGAGAGTGTTGGAGGCAGTAATTCTTGGAGTCTTCTGCCAGCCTGAGGAAAGGGCCAACCCCACTGTAATAGAGGCCCTTCAGCTCACCATCTAGCTTTCCCCCACCTCCATGGCAATTGGCCTCGCCGTTATTTGAGAAGAAGTTGGCAGTGTGCGCACTTTTCTAAGGCTGTCATGTTAGCTTTGTAGGGAGGGAACGTCCGTGTCCCTCAAAGCTATGAATACCTTGACTCTTTTGCATCCTTCCACATCAGTCCTTGGTCTGTCCAATAAGGACCAATGGTGTGTAAAGTTCCCTTTACGTCCCCCTGGGCATGAATCATCTTTATCAATCATTACTAAATGAAAAAACTGTTGGCAGAATTGACCTGTGACCGAGTTGAGGCACCATGGTCACTCAAGTGATTGAATACAGAGATCATTACAGGGTTAACTGGGGGCAATTAACCTGTTATGGTGGACATTTTGACATGTGGGGGAAATGATCGGGCTAATGAGGTAATTAGCTGAGAAAAGGAAGATAAATAATTGCTGGGTGTGGCAGAGAAAACTGGGTGGAGGGCTCCCCTGGACCCATGCCTGTACTGTGGTCTGTAGAGATTCTACAGATTAAAGATTAAAGATACACATGGTGAACAGTAACAGACTGCATGCATATTGTGAGTAAAAGACCACGCATATGGGCCAGGCAGTGCGGCTCACTGGGTAGCTGGGGAAATGCCCTCTGATATGGCCTTATTACTTGACCAAGCAATGGGACATTTTTTCTTTCTCTCTCTGTCTTGTTTTTCTTTCTCTCCAACATTTCTATTTATTATAAGGTGTCATCCAGCGCAAGGAAGTGCCACATACTGAAGGAGTTGTTGGTAGGGAATGACACATCTGGAGGCAGACGGAGGTGGGTGGGAAATAAAATCAACAGTTTAGAGCACTAATTGTACCTGCCAAGCTGTCACTGATAATGGCCACAAACATGAAAATACAATATAAGGAATACGAATATACAGTGATAGTTGTGCCAAGTAATTGGTGAAAGAACTTGATACAAGTTTCTAATTCAATAATTCTTTTCTGAGCAACTTTTAATAAAGAAAAAAATGGAGCAGCAGTAACCATAAAGCAAGAATGGCATGCACAGATCCCCACTGATAGATGTCTCCCCTTATGGGAGATGATGGCTATGAAATTAGACCATGAAAATGTTGGCACTTGTATATGTATTGTTTATCTACTCTTTTTTTAAACCAGGTACTGTGAATGTATACAACAATGGAAAAACCTGTGAACCCTAATATACCTTAATTATTAGCTTTGAGCTAGCAAACAGGAGCAGCAAACAGTTTTGTGAGGGAGTTCTCCAGGTGAAGGAGTGACTACATGACCGTTGGAGTGAGGTCTGTTTAGGGGTTTGGGTGCTGAGCCTAGTGGCCTGCTAGGGAAAGGCTGAGCGCTTGCTAACAAGGCTCTAGCCTGCCACCCTTTGATCCCTAACCCTTTTAGGAACCTTTGACAATGAGGCGGGGCTAACTCAGGGAGAACAGGGGTTCAAAAAGCCAGCTTGTAGATGGCCAGAGGAGCTAGAACAGTGGTTCTCAACCAGGGGTACATGTAGCCCTGGGGATACGCAGATGTCTTCCTAGGCGTATGTCAACTCATCTAGATATTTGCCTAGGTTTACAACAGGCTACATAAAAAGCACTAGCAAAGTCAGTACAAACTAGAATTTCATACAGACAATGTCTGGTTTATACTGCTCTATATACTATACACTGAAATGTAAGTACAATATTTATATTCCAAACTATTTATTTTGTAATTATATGGTAAAAATGAGAAAGTAAGCAATTTTTCAGTGATAGTGTGCTGTGACTTTTTTTTGTTTTTTTTTTTGCAAGTACTTTTTAAGTGAGGTAAAACTTGGGGTACACGAGACAAATCAGACTCCTGAAGTAGTCTGGAAAGGTCGAGCCACTGAGCTAGAGAACAGGAGCAGTAAACAAGGGAATTTTGTGAGGGAGTGTGAGAGCTAGATAGATCTAATAAACCGTCTCGAAACTTAATCCAATAACACCCCTGTCAAGGTTCCTTCCCCACTCTGAACGCTAGGGTACAGATGTGGGGACCTGCATGAAAAACCTCCTAAGCTTATCTTTACCAGCTTAGGTCAAAACTTCCCCAAGGTACAAAATATTCCACCCTTTGTCCTTGGATTGGCCGCTACCATCACCAAACAAATACTGGTTACTGGGGAAGAGCTGTTTGGAAACGTCTTTCCCCCCAAAATACTTCCCAAAACCTTGCACCCCACTTCCTGGACAAGGTTTGGTAAAAAAGCCTCACCAATTTGCCTAGGTGACTACAGACCCAGACCCTTGGATCTTAAGAACAATGAACAATCCTCCCAACACTTGCACCCCCCCTTTCCTGGGAAACATTGGATAAAAAGCCTCACCAATTTGCATAGGTGACCACAGACCCAAATCCTTGGATCTGAGAACAATGAAAAAGCATTCAGTTTTCTTACAAGAAGACTTTTAATAGAAATAGAAGTAAATAGAAGTAAAGAAATCCCCTCTGTAAAATCAGGATGGTAGATACCTTACAGGGTAATTAGATTCAAAACATAGAGAATCCCTCTGGGCAAAACCTTAAGTTACAAAAAAGATACACAGACAGAAATAGTTATCTATTCAGCACAATTCTTTTCTCAGCCATTTAAAGAAATCATAATCTAACACATGCCTAGCTAGATTACTTACTAAAAGTTCTAAGACTCCATTCTTGGTCTATCCCCGGCAAAAACAGCATATAGACTGACTGAGACCCTTTTGTTTCTCTCCCTCCTCCCAGCTTTTGAAAGTATCTTGTCTCCTCATTAGTATTTTGGTCAGGTGCCAGCAAGGTTACCTTTAGCTTCTTAACCCTTTACAGGTGAGAGGAGCTTTCCCCTGGCCAGGAGGGATTTCAAAGGGGTTTACCCTTCCCTTTATATTTATGACAACCCCCAAACAAACAAATCTGCTGCAACAGTAAAAAATAATACAGGCAGAAAGCCCCCAGTCTTGCTGCTGGACATACAGTTTATTGCACTTTGTGGGCAGGTGGTATATGTTCCCATTCAGTGCAAGCTGCTCATGGCCCTCAGATTGTGGGCTCTTGAGATCATCCTAGCTGAACTGGAGGAGGTAAAGGAGACAGAGAGGTACATAGACAATGTTTACTGGGCAACAGAAGAGTGGCCCCACTCCCAGTCTGACAGCCCCCGTGCTGTTGAGAAGGAGTAAAGTCTTGGGCAAGGAGAACATCGAGCTGGAGCAGGAGGAACAATCCTATTCTCTTTCCAGATGATGTCATGGTATCCTTGCACTGAGAATACCCTTCCGAGGTATATGTGAAAGAAACCATAGAGTCAAATATATTAAAAATCTTAAATGAATCAAACAGTACCACAGAATCTCTATGTATAGAAATCTCATGCTTGAATAATAAGAGTAGAGCAGTAGGAATGTATGATCAACCATCTGACCAGGATGACGGTGGTGATTGTGAAATGCTCAGGGAAATTAGAGAGGCTACAAAAACAGAAAAACCAATAGTAATGGGGGATGTCAACCTTCCCCTTACTGACTGGCTATATATCACATCAGGATGGGACGCAGAGAGAAAGTTTCTAGACACCATTAATGACTGCTTCTTGGAGCAGGTAGTCCTGGAATCCACAAGTGGAGAGGCAATTCTTCGTTTGGTCATAAGTGGCACACAGGATCTGATCCAAGAAGTCAATGTAGCTGAACTCTATGGTAATAACGACCATAATGTAATTAAATTTAACATCCTTGGGGAGGGGAGGGGGGAAAGAAATACCAAAGAAACCCACCAAAGTAGCATTTAACTTCTAAAGGGGAACTAAACAAAAACGAGGAAATTAAATGGAAATTCAAAGAAGTAGTCATATGGGTTAAATTCCAGCAAGCTACGTGGAAACTTTTTAAAAACACCATAATAGAGGCTCAGACTATATGTATACCCCCAAATTAAAAAAAAAAAAAGTAGTAAGAGGACCAACAAAAAAATGCCACCATGGCTAAATAACTGGGTAAAAGAGGTCATTAGAAACAAAAAGACATATTTTAAAAATTGGAAGTCAAATCCTACTGAGGAAAGTAGAAAGGAACATAAACTCTGGCAAGACAATGGTAAAAGTATAATTAGGGAGGCCAACAAAGAATTTGAAGAACAACTAGCAAAAGACACAAACCAGCAACATGTTTTTTAAGTCTATCAGAAGCAGGAATTCTGCCAAACAATCACTTGGGCTACTGGACAATTGAGGTGCTAAAGGAGCACTCAGGGAAGACAAGGCTATTTTGGAGAAGCTAAATGAATTCTTTGCACTGCTCCTCCTGCAGAGGAGATTCCCACACTTGAGCCATTCTTTTAGGTGACAAATGTGAAGAACTGTCCCACATTGAGGTGTCAATAGAGGAGGTTTGGGAACAAATTTACAGGTTAAACGGTAAATCACCAGGACCAGCTGGTATTCATCCAAGAGTTCTGAAGAAACTCAAACATGAAATTGCAGAACTACTAACTGTGGTATGTAACCTGCAGTATAACCTCATATGAACACCAGAGTTATGGACTGATCAGTAAACCGGACACCAAATGAAACCGGAAGTAACCAATCAGGCAGCAGCAGAGACCAAAAAAAAATAAAAAGAGAAAATACTGTATATGCCTGTATTGAATATTAAAGGTAGGCACATCTGGGCTGCCTGTCCCCATCCCCATCCCCACACATGGGGCAGTCACTTACAGCAAGATGCTGGGGCTGCCAGCTCAAGGCAGCTGGAGTCAGGCAGCAGAGCAGGAGCAGTGCTGGGGTCTGCTGTTTTCTTACACACACACACACACCACCCCTCTGTCAGGAGGGGGACAAGCTTGCAAACTCATGCAAGGGCTGAGCAGGGAGCTCAGCTGATGCTGAAGCCTGGCTTGGAGCATCAGCTGCTGGATCTGGCGCCTGAACTGTGCTTTGCTCAGAGTTACAAACATTTCAGAGTTACGGACAACCTCCAATCCCGAGGTGTCTGTAACTCTGAGGTTCTACTGTATTGCTTAAATTAGCCTATATACCAGATGACTGGATGATAGCTAATGTAATCCTTATTTTTTTTAAAGGCTACAGATGTGATCCTGGCAATTAGAAGCCAGTAAGCTAACTTCAGTGCCAGGCAAATTGGTTGAAACTATCAGAAAGAACAGAATTATCAGACATTTAAATGAACACAATATGTTGGAAGAATCAACATGGCTTTTCCAAAAGGAAATCATGTCTCACCTGTCTCTGAGAATTCTTTGAGGGGGTCAACAAACATGTGAACAAGGGTGATCCAATGGATACAGTGGGCTTTCAGAAAGCCTTTGCTTAAGAGCCTTTGATGAGGGACCTTGCCAAAGTAAGCAGTCATGGGATAAGAGGGAAGGTCTTCTCATGGATCAGGAACTGGTTAAAAGATAGGAAACAAAGGGCAGGAATAAATGGTTAGTTTTCAGAATGGAGAGAGGTAAATAGTGGTGCCCCCGTGGGATCTGTACTGGGCCCAGTGCTGTTCAACATATTCATAAAAGGGGTAAACAATGAGGTGGCAAAGTTTTCAGATGATACAAAATGACTCAAAATAGGTAAGACCAGAGCTGACTGTGAAGAGTTCCAAAGGGATCTCACAAAACTGGGTGACTGGGCAACAAAATGGCAGATGACATTCAAAGTAGATATATTCAAAGTAATGTACTTTGGAAAACATCCCATCTATACATATAAAATGATGGGGTCTAAATTAGCTGTTACCACACAAGAAAGAGATCTTGGAGTCATCGTGGATAGTTCTCTGAAAACATCTGCTCAGTGTGCAGCGGCAGTAAAAAAAGCTAACAGAATGTTAGCTACCATTAGGAAAGGGATAGATAAGACCAAAAATATCATAATGCTACTATATAAATCCATGATACACCCACACCTCGAATAATGTGTGCAGTTCTGGTCATTCCATCTCAAAAAAGATATATTAGAAATGGAAAAAGTACAGACAAAGGCAACAAAAATGATTAAGGGTATGGACCAGTTTCTGTATGAGGAGTGATTAAACAGACTGGGACTGTTCATCTTAGAAGAGAGATGACTAAGGGGGGATATGATAGAGTTCTATAAGATCATGAATGGTGTGGAAAGAAATGTTGTTTACATAACACAAATTAATAGGAAGCAGGTTTAAAACAAACGAAAGGAAGTACTTCTTCACACAATGTAGGTCAACCTGTGGAACTTGTTGTCAGGGGATGTTGTGAAAGCCAAAACTATACCTGGATTCACAAAAGAATTAGATAAATTCATGGAGGATAGGTCCACCAATGGCTATTAGCCGAGGTGGTCAGGGATGCAACTCCATGCTCTGGATGTCTCTAAACCTCTGACTGTCAGAAGGTGGGACAGGACAACAGGATATAGCTCACTTGATAAATTGCCCTGTTCTGTTCATTCCCTCTGGCGCTGGCAACTGTTGAAAGACCACATACTTGGCTAGATGAACCATTGGTCTGACCATTCTTACATTCTTAGCTTGCTACTGCACTATTATCCTACACCAAGCAGTACATTTTTCTCTGCTAAAGCTAAGAGTTTAGATACAACACTTTATTTGCAGTGGCTTATAGCTCAGCTGGTAAAATTTTGCTCTGGTCAGAAGCTTGATGTATAAAATCTCAAGTCCTAAAACAGGAAATGAGCATTTTATACCATTAATTTAGGTTTTATTTATTTTTTGCAGTTGTGACAATCAAAAAACACGTTTGTTGCCCATTAAGGGCCAAATCCAACACCCATAGAAGTTAATGGAGAGGCTCCCATTTCAGTGGGAGCTGGATCATGCCTCAAGTCAATACTGTAGTTTTCACTAGACATGGGAAACACCCAAAGAAGCCCCCATGGTGTTGTGGGCCAATGAATCCCAAGCTGTGGCCCTGATCTTGCTAACAGTCATGCATCTGCTTAACTTTACTTTAAAAGTGAAAGTCAAAGGGATTACTCCTCTGCATAAAGTTAAATGTGTGCAAGTGTTTGTAGGCATGGAACCTTGGCACAATGGATTGACTGAAGTGACTGCACAGAGCTACTGGGGATATGATATCCTTCTCAAAAAAATCAGTGACTTCTTAACTACCCCGTATGATGGCCTGAATTCTAGAGTTGTCGCTGTCTGCATTGCAGCAGCTCTCACAAAGTTTATATAATCAACTTTTATGATTAGCAACTTATTATTCTTGTTTGCATGTTAAACATGTTTTGCTGTTCAGTAAAATCTTTCATCTGATCTCAAAGTACTTTTCAGCATTAAATAAGTCTCATAATTATTCTCAATGTATTTATTATTATTAAAATGGCCTACAGGCCCCATCACAAGATCAGGACTCCATTGTGCTAGGCACTGTACAGACACAGACGGTATCTGCTTTAAAGAGCTTCCAACAGAGATGGGATGGTATTTACCTACGTGGTTTTTACCAGGTAAAATCATGGTTTTTACCACCCTGGGACAAACTAGGTTGCCCAAGGTCAAGATATTTTCTATTTTAAAAACGTGTTTCATTAATCCATGCCACATTACAGTTAGCTTTAGTTACATATTCTACTCCTGTAGGAATTCTGCACCAAAAAATTAAAAATATTTTGCAAAATTCTGCATATTCTATTTGTTAAAATAATGCCATATAATCATGCCAGTTTCAATTATGTAATTTATTTCAAAATACCTGTTAGACAGGTATATCTGCAACAATAGCAGCAACAAAAAATATTCAGGAAATGTAGGTCAGCTGGGGCTCCCGCTGTCACAGAAGCCACAGCTACCTTGGGCTGACAGCGGGAGCCCTGCCAGCCATTCTCCAGTTTATCCAGATTTTTGATTCTCCAATCTGACCCATGTCCCAATTAGATTGGATAATTGGGGTTCAACTGGATGTAACTAATACATTTGAAACATGCAAAACCAGAAAAAGGCAGCATTCTGGTGGAAATCACTAATTCTGCAGGAAAAAATTCTGCAGGGAACATATTCTGTACAAATTCTGCATTGCACTGTGGTGCAGAATTCCAACATGAGTAATATTCAAATTGTGACAGGTTTCAGAGTAACAGCCGTGTTTATTTAAGACAGTAGATTTGGAGATTAATGTGGGGTCGTTCCAATAAAAAGTAAAATGTAACATAACACTGAACATTGGAATGTCTATACATTTTGGTTCAGTATTTTCTCAAGGAAGTTATACATGGCATGACTCATATTTCAGTTTTCAATATTACATATACTGCAAACTATTATAATATTGTTAAATATTTTTCAGCAATTTTCATTAGTATAGTCTAATAATTTTATTTTTCCTGGTTTACATTAGGTTTAAGCCAATATTTGCTGGTGCCCTCTCTTAAGCTAGTTTTTCCCAGGAAATTGACAACCCTGGCTTTCCATCCACAAAAAGGTATTCATATCCCCTTTTTACACATGGGACAGTGCGGTAGACCGAGATTAACATGACTTCTCCAAAGTCACACAAAATATCCAGTGCAAATTCAGGAATTGTAACATAGCCACAAAACCATCCAGCCTGTGTCTTATATTGGCATTCTTCAGGTTAGTATTAGAGTATTTTGCTTTTATAGCAGGGCAATCTAAGGCACAGGGAGGTTAAGGGACTTGCCAAGGGTTACAAAGCAAAAGTCAGTGGCTGAGCTGTGACTAGCACTTGGAACTTCACTCAGTGTTCCATGCTCTAACCACTAGACAGGGCTTCTTCCTTTCTCAAAACTCCCTAAAAGAAAAATAGGCACAAAACCCTGCTTTCAATGCTCTGTAAACAGGATTCATTCATGGATCAAGCCATCAAGTTTGATATCCTCCCTCTGGAGAGGAAGTGTTCCAGTATCACAAATATGTATCTCCTAAAGGTCGACTCAGGTCAGAATCTGTTCTTTGAAGGTGGCATGTCTGATTTCTTTGACCCTAGGTTAGATGCTGATCAGATACACTCCTCTTAGAGTTCGTGCTGTGCCCAGTCATGCTAAAGTGATCCTTGATTGGATGTGGGAAGAATTTAAAGAGAGCAAACAGAAAAGAAAGGCTAAAAAAATCTGAACTGACGTTGCCTCTACATGTGCCATTGTCTCCTTGTTTGCAACGGCATAAATTAAGGACATACGTCAACTCCAATGTTTCCCTTTTACTCAGAATGACCTCATTCCTGAGGGTTTAAGTCAAACCTTTAATGTTCCTTTAATACTGTTCCAGGGGGGTTAATAGTATTGTGCTGTAAATCACAATCTAGCATTATACCGGTGAAGTGTTTTGACTTGGACTGTCAAAATCAATTTTTGGATGCATAATATCATTGCCCTCACAAAAGGAGATAGTAACTGCAGTCCCCTTCTGACTATCACAATAAAACTCAATTGCAATGACTCCTGCATTAGACTGAGGATCTTTCTTGTTAAATGGCAATTACGGCTCAAGAGAATCCAGTTACAGCACCCGTTCTCAGTTACTAATATGACGACACCTAGAGGTCCCAGTGAGGTATCAGAGCCTCATTGTGTTAGGCACTGCACAAACAAGTAGCACAAAGACGTTCCCTGCCTGAGCAAGAAGGATTATGATAAAGTGAAGCAAGTGGATAAACAGGCAATAGCCCTAGGGTGAGGGGCAAGGTAACAGTAAGAAATGATTTGTTTGCACAAGTAAGTAGCTTCAGTGGTCTGAATGATGGCTAGTCTTACCAATGCCAGATAGTTTTGATCAGTAAATATCATGGCAAAGGAAGGTTTTAAGGAGGGAGCATTAGCCATTAAAGCCAAAGTACTTAGCTAAATCCTTAGTATTTAATGGCTAGTGCCATCTCAGATCATTCATACTGTGGCCCTTGTTAGTTTCATTGATTTTTAAGATCCCATTGTGAGTGTGCAGTCTGACCTCCTGTATTACACAGGCCACAGAATTTCATCCAGCTACTCCTGTGTTGAGCCTGTTAGATGACTGACCCTACTGAAGACCAACCGGTGGTGTAGTTCCTCATCAGAGAGAGCAAGCCTTTGAGTGAGATGTGCTCAAGGACATGAGGACTAATGTCCCTAAGGAAAACTTCTGGTATGGGCTCCATTTAGCTGAACTGTGCCTCCACATCTTGTTTCTAAAGTAGAGTACGAGTAATGTCACAATCGGTTAACTTTTAACACTGACTTAGGGTTATCATTAAAATATCTCTTGCTACCAGCAGATGTGAGAAGATATGCAGATGCATGGGAAGTTTGTACGAAGTTCTATGGCATCATTGGGTTACTGGGTATCATGATCTATCACTTCCCAAATAGGTTCAGAATATATGATGAGAAATTAAACCGTAGGACATGCTTCTGTTTCTTGATTGCAGATTCACAAACATCTGTTACTGAGGTGGGTG